CTCACCCCCACATCCCACTGCTCTGGGGAAACAGGGATGGAGGTGGGGGAGATCCCCCAAATCAAGAGCAGCTCTGTCCCTCCTCTCTAGAAGTTCCTTCTCTCTGCCCAGAGAGATACCCATTAGCTCCCAACAAAGGTGTCCTCTTCTTTTCCAGGTACCTGGCACACAGCACTGAAATAAGTAATATTCATTAAGGGGTACTTACTGTGATACAGGTTCATTAACTCATTCAAATCAGCACTGTTTATTTAACCTATTTTATGGAGGTTCAGAAAGATCTTTTTTTTTGAGTTGGAGTCTCACTCCAGTGGCATGGAGTGCAGTGGCATGCTCACGGCCACCGTAGTCTTGACCTACTTGGCTCAGGTGATTCTTTCGCCTCAACCTTCCAAGTAGCTGGAATTCCATACATGCGCCACCATGCCCAGCTAATTTTTTAAATTTATTGTAGAGATGAGGTCTCACCATGTTGCTCAGGCTGGTCTCAAACCCGTGAGCTCAGGTAATCCTCTCGCCTCTGCCTCCCAAAGTGCTGGAATTACAAATGTGAACCACCGCATCAGGCTCAGAAAGATCTTAAGTAGCTTGTCCAGTGCCTCAAAGAGAAGAGAGTCAGGGCTTAAATCCAGAAATACATTGGGAATTGCTATAGTCTACCACTTCCCTTAACCCAGATTACTTCTTTGTGTCCAAAATGCTGGACAACAAGACCTCCAGCCCCTGGGGTTTCTTTCCCTTGCACTCATCCCAAAAAAGGCCCCAGTCCTCTCTATCACTGCTCTTTGCCTGCCAAAGCCCTGTCCCTCTCTATGTCCCCCTAGTCTGGCTGCAGAAACAGGATTTGTACCAGCACGATGTGGTCCCTTATAATTGCACTTCATGTTTTTCATTTGGTGAAAACAGGATCCATTTATTCCCGGAGTCAGGGTTTGAGAATGTCAAAAGACAAAATCACAACACATTTAAATGTCTTAATTGGCTTTCATTTGCGATTCTAGGGTTGGGCAACATCTCATTCTATAAAAATAGAATTAGTATTCCCATGAGCTGAGGAGGGTGACTTTATAGGCATAAAAAGGCTGAAGAAAGTAGAAACAGAGAACAGAAAGCAAATGGGTCATTTCAAAGTCACTTTCCTTGCAAAGGTTCAAGCAGAGGAGACTTCCTTATCATGCTGGCTAAAACGGGTTTGTCTGAGGATTTGGCTATTACCTTTCTTCTGATTTCTTGGAAGGGCAGATAAACAACTTAGTTTCAGGTTGGTGGTGTGGAACTTCAGCTTGAGTAATCCCATTCTGGTTTGGTCTGTTGGGCCCAGTGCAGGAGTTCAGTCTAAACCGATGGTCTCCTAGAAATTTTATTTAACAGGGAGAAAACCCTTTATATCCTATCTTTTCATTGCCCCAGACCTTGATTCTTAGAGAATTTCATGGTAGAGAGTTTAACTAAAAATGCAATTTAGGTAGAAGATTTTCTAGTCCTAGAGTAAGAATTCCAGGTCCTGTTCCTGCCTCTGCCACTGGCTACTCTTTTTTTTTTTTTAAATTTTTAATTTTAAAGATGTGGGGTACAATTCATGGTTAGGTATACAAATGTTCATTATGCAGGTACCCTTGTTGATGAAGTGTGCCCCCCAACCCCTGGCAGATTCCTCTACAGCCAATCCGCACCCCAACCTCTGGCAGTCCCACTACTGTCCCCTGGCTCCTCTTAAAGCCTCTCTGCTTTCCAGTCTCATTTTTTTCCTCTGCAATTATCAAGAATGAAAGGACCTTCTAGGGGACAAGATGAAGTGGACAGAGATGCTGTACAAAGAAATTCCTGCATTCATGAAGGGAAAAAAATATTCCTTAAGAAGTTAAATTAAATAATGCAGGTGAAGCACTTAGCTAGTGCCTGGTCCATGGCAGGTATTCAGTAGCTATCTGAGGCAGGAAGCTGGGTTGTGCTGGAGCCAGAGGCACCTGCAGAGCCTCACAGAGCTGGCTGCTGCAGGGTGTGGTCGACCCTGAGTGCTTTCCTGAGTTTGCCTGTAGGGTACAGTTGGTAGCATGCCACAGCTCTCAGGAAAGTGACCTAACTTGGATTTTTCTGGATGGACACAGACTTGCAAGAAATTCTTATTTGCATAGAGATGGGGAGCTTATTTTTCCTAGAAGCTGCATGTCCAGACCCAGAAGACAGAGGCATTTCGTAATAATGATTAATCAGCTATATCTCAAAGAAAAAAGAAAACAATTAAGGAAATAAGATGTTAAGAAAACAATGGGAAAAACAATCTCCCAAAGGTGGACCCACCCAGTGAATCTTGACAGCATTTCCCCCTTCCACCTCCATAAAAATGACCAGCCCTTTCCAAATGGTAAAGAGTACCGAGAGGAGACACGAGGAGCAGCTGGAGAGCACCCTTGAGAGGTGAGGCTTGCGTCGTCCTTCCTCAGAGGCTCATACTTACCACCATCCCAGCCCTCATCCTTACCCCAACCCAGTCCACTTACCCAGCACACGCAACTGGGAATGGACACCACGGGGGCTGCAGGGCAGAGGGCTGCTCTATTCACATGTGTTGTCATAAGACTATGACTATGGCTCTGACGCCCCAGGAGCAGGGTAGAATAAGGAGGGGTACTCCATATTGGGGGTGAATGTTGAGTACCTTACCTTCAAAGAGAAGAGATGGAGAGTGGGAAGGAAGGCAGGCAGGAAGGCAGGAAGGGAGGAAGGGAGGGAGGGAGGGAGAAAGGGGGAGGGGAAGGAATCTAGTCTAATGTCTTTACTCCTGCTTTTTTGTTCCAGGAACTGTGCTGGGCACTTTGTAACACATTGTTGTTTCTTAATCCTTTGCAGTATTAAAAATCTTTTTAAATGTAAGGAACATCACTGATCATAAATGGGTTTCTATCTGGTGTAAGGGGGGAACTCCTGGGGTCTCCTGCTGAGGTGTTAGAGGGAAACAGCACTGTAAGTGGGATGGTGTAGTGGTAGAGAGTAGGGCTCAGGGGTAAGCCTGCTTCCTCTCCAGTCCCAGTTTGGACAGATTACTTTACTCCTTTAAGTCTCAGTTCCCTCCTTGGTAAAATAGGGATAGAAAGAGAACCCACCTCATTGAGTGATTGTGAGCATTAGATAAGAAAAATATGTGACATGCTTGTCAGAGTGCCCAACTCACATGCATTTATGATAAATGTTGCCTACTACTAATATCTGAATTGGCCAAGATGTCTGGAATCACCCACCAATCTAAGGGAGGTATCTTTCTGCTCCAAAACATGCGTGAGGCTCCTGGCATAAGGTGAGCAGGCAACGTCCCGCTGCTTCTGAGAGTTCTCTTGTCAGAAGAAAAACTGTACTCTTTTCCTAGTCACTTGACTTTTTAGAAGCACCCCTATAGTCTTCTGAGGGGACAGAGCACTGGGGTAGACGGCGAGGGGGAGATTCATAAATTTCCCTGGTAATGGAGTCTACTTCTTTGTTTTATCAGAAAGGAAGAGGTTGAAAAAAGAGAAGTTGAGTCCTTTAACATAATGCCTGCTGCAGGGTGAGATCTCAGTATACACCTGTTCATTAACCAGGAATGATGTCAAGCTGAGGAGAGACAAGGCCAAAATGGGTTTCTTAACAGGATTTGCTATTTCTTGGCTTTCCAGAGAAGGAGCTGGGAATCCTGAGGGAGGTGTTGGGAATGGGGCTGAGGAGTGGGGAAGTTATGACTCATCCACACACGTGTGTTCTTTATAGTTACAGCAGGTCAGGCATGGTGGCTCATGCCTATAATCTCAGCACTTTAGGAGGCTGAGGTAGGAGGATCCCTTGAGGCCAGGAGTTCTATGCCACCCTGAGAAGCAAAGACCCTGTCTCTACAAAAAATGTAACTATATAAATATGTATAATATATATTTACAGAGACCATACGATAGTGAGTGGCTGGAGAGGGCCCTTGGCAGCCCCCTCTGCTGGCTCTCAACGTTTGGTGGCCTTTTCTCCTCCACAGCACACACAGTCGGAAATGGGCACGATGGGGACTGCAGGGCAGAGGGCTGCTCTATTCACATATGTTGTCATAAGACTTACCACAAAGGCTGAGCTCTGCTTGTGACACTTGGGCAAGTGTGGGGGGAAGGAAAAGCAGAGAGAGATAACTCAGCAAGCTGTACCATGATATCTAATGCACTTGTCTCCGTGTTCATCATATGGCACGGTGTACAGGGGCTAAGTGAAGAGGCAGAGGGAAAGGCAGAGGCAAGAAGGGGGAGAGCATGAGAAGAGGCTGCAAGCATCTCGGGCTGGCCCTGCCTGGGAACCAGCTAGCTGCAGACATACCCTTCACATCCCTGGCTCGGGAAGCCACCAACTTGGCCTCTACAGTTGATGCTGTCTCTTTTCTCCCCCCTGTGGCTAATTAGTTATTAGGATATGCTTTGCGCCTCCCTTTCCCATCTTCTCCAGAAGGCAAAATCTGCATAGTTGACTTCAAATAGATGATTTTAAGCAGACACACATTGGAGGTTTATAATAAAAGGGGTTCTTCTATTTTGGGGGCAAACATCAAAAACCAAATGTGCTTTTATGGTTTTACAGATCTGTTGCCTAATTCCTAGGGCATATTGCCAATCTTGTTTTTCCTATTTAATTTATTAAAAATGATGCTTTTCATTGCTGTTGACAAAGGGAGCCGTGTTGAGTCATAGGCGAGTGAAATACACACAGATATGTTTCCCGGGACTTGACAGAGTACTGTATTGCCCTTTCTGGGGGTGGAGGTGGGGGTATGTGAGGGCACAGGAGGACTCACATGCAATTGATTCAAGAAAACCAGAGGAGGAGACACATGGCCCTGAAACTCCACAGAGCTGAGATATTGAATCTTGTTCCTTTGGATGCCACCTGGCCAGTCCTGTGAGTTTCAAAGAGGGAGGGCATGTGTTAATCAGGGCTCTTTTCTTTCATTGCCCTGCACTCTTGACCCGACAGTGGACCTCTGCTCCTTTCTGCAGGACATGAAGGTGCAGCGTGTTTCCCTCTGGCTACTGGGCACAGTGCTCATCTTGTGCTCAGTGCACACCCGTGGTCTCAGGAGATGTCTGATTTCCATGGACATGCACCATATAGAACAGAGTTTCCAAGGAATCAAAAGAGCTGTTGTGAGTAGGGGTTGGGGTGAAGGCATGGGCAAAGGGGCGTGCCCCTCTTACGTTTTAGCTTGAAAAGCGAGTTCCTTCTAGTTATCTTTTGTATCTCATGAGAACACAGAATGTTCATGGCTTGTCTATTCTTATGCTTCCCTCCATAGCAAGCTAAGGACACCTTCCAAAATGTCACTATCCTGTCCAAATCGGAGACCCTGCAGAGCATTAAGGTACTGGCTTGTGTCTGCTCTTTCCTATATCTTTATCTTTACTGCAAAGCGGCCCTGGGTTGAGAAAGAAATCTCTACTCCATCCCCTTTCTCTTTTCTAATCTCCAGTGTACTCTAAATGTACTGAACTTCTCGTTTGCTGGCTGACGTTGTGGGCACTCTAGTGTCCCAGGAACTTTGGAACCTCTGGATGAAAGAAGTGTACTTCCTGGAGAGTGTTTGGGAGTGCTAGGTGCTCAGAGGGGACAGGATTTCTGTGCTTGGGGGTGATTTTGGAAGGTCCCATGTGGGAGCTGAGAAAACAGTGACTTAAATGCCAAGGAGGTTGTTGATTAGTGGGTAAAAGGAAGTGAGGGTTTTGAGGGACACACGAGAATGGGTATAGGATCACTGAAGGTAGGACAGTGAAGCAACCAGGTTTGTGATATGAAGGGTGGGAGAGTGGTGGAGGGTGAGGTGGAGAAGTACCTTGGGGACATTTCACAAAGACTCCTGGGGTCAGGCTGAGTCCCGGTCTTATAATAGAGGAATAGAGTCACTGAAGGTTTTTGAGCCCCAAGTTATATGGCTGTACATTGTTTTAGAAAGACAGTCTGGTGATGTCCTTACAACAGACAATGTGAGGTAGGAAAGCCAGGGAGAAGGTCAGTCCAGCTGTCCAGACAGGAAGTGATGTGTGTGTGCTATACAACAGCTGGCTTGCTGGGTGATCGTTCACTTTACAAAAGGGGCCGTGAGCGATGTTTTTAAAAGTGAGCTCCTCCAGTCCTTAGAAGCACTCTAGAAAGATCCAGTTTTTTCAGGAATTTATGTTACTGAGTGTAAGGTATATCTGTAATGAGTTGCTTTTTCCTCAGGTTTCTCAACACAAGTGAGAGAGACACACAACTGCATAATTTTTCTAGGCTGTGATTTATTCGAGGTGAATAGATGCAGGCACATACTAAATAATATTCCAGATGACTGTATTACAGACTCATAAAACATCACAGCTACAAAGGACGCCCCCAGAAAAATCTATTCCCAAATCATAATTTTCAAATGAGAACATTGGAACCTTGAATGAAGAATGACTTGTTAGTAACTGAGCCAGGAATAGACCCCCAAATTTATGCCCCCATCTCCAGATTCTTTCTCCTCTCAAGGTGGAGAAGTAGTGTTGTAGAATAAGAAATGGAGTCAATAAGGACTCAGGTCTTTATCATATCATATTTGCTTTCTTCTTCCCTTTCTGTCTCCTTTCCTCCTTCCTTCCTCCCTTTCTTTTGCCAGTCTGTCCTTCCTTCCTTCCTCCCTTCATCTTTCTTCCCTCCTTCCTTTTTTCTACTATATGTCTTTTTCTAGTGCCACAATCTTTGATAACACAGAGGTGTGTAACTTTTTGTTCCTCTGGTTAAGGGAACCAACATGAGTGAACAAAGAAAAGGGCTTCTGTGCAGCAAGTAGAATTTGCCATCTAGGAAAAGCTGCTACTGGGGCCAAGGAGGCTTCACTCCTTCAATGCTAATGAAGATGGATGTACTGTCCTGTTGTAAACCCCCCCATACTTGCCCTGAGAGATTAATCTTCTGCAGAGTAATTCACTGCCTGGTAGGGTGCAAACTGCTAGAAGGAAACTGTCTAGCCACTTCTCTGGGTTGTGCCTGGGAAGTTAGGCATTCTTCTTAAAGACATCTGTACTCTGCAGATCTGTGGACCTACCCAGATGTGCCCATTTTCGCAGCTATCAGTTTCCTTTCTTGCAAATCTCAGACTGGAGGAGAGCCAAACAGTGCAGCCCAGGGTAGAATGACCAACATGAACACATCATTATAGTTGGAGGAAGGGATGCCTAGCATAATGCCCAGCATGCGATAGCACTTGCATGTGGCTGGATGGGAGATATTATACAGAGACCAGCTTCAGCCTCTGCCATTTAAGGAAGTATTTTTCCAGAAGGCTGCTTAGCTATCAGTCCTTTTAAAAAGGAGGCACTTGATTCCTGGGAAGATTTAGGCAGACGTCAGTGATGATACCTTAGGCTTGTTGTAGAGGGAATCTAGTCTATGATTCGATGCTGGGCCCCATCCTTTGTAATGTGTCTCCTGGTCATACAAAAAGAGAGGATAGCTGGAATCTTTCCTGACCATCTTCATCATAAGTAGCTTTGATGTGAGTAAGAAGGGCCAAATACTCTGAGACCATTATGAATTTTTAAAAATCATTTTCAATTCTCTTACTTCTTGCAGCCCCTACTCAGATGGACTGCTTTGTCTCTAAGATAATGAGAGAAGAGGGCCAACAGGAGTTTCTCTAATTTGTGTCTGTAGCCTTTAGACGTGTGCTGTGTGACCAAGAACCTCTTGACATTCTACATGGACCGGGTGTTCAAGGATCATCAAGAGCCAAACCCCCAAATCTTGAGAAAAATCAGCAGCATTGCCAATTCTTTCCTCTACATGCAGAAAACTCTGCAGCAATGTGTGAGTCACTGTGTCAGGATTCCCAGTCTGCTACAGGGAGAGCCTAGGAAGTGCCTGTCCCAGTCGGCCTTCTGAAAGGGTCCCTGGAGTCAAAGGAAATTCCCAGCCCTGTCATTCATGTCCATGGGGGAGAATTGTTGACAACCCCTCCTAGTGGTCCCAGCTTCCCCAGGGCTTCCTGCCTGCTGGTCACTTGTCAGACTGGTCTCTCCATGGATAATCCTCCTGGAGCGATCAGTTTATATCAATGTATTCTTTAAGTGAGAGAGGCATGCCAAGGACTCTAGTCTTACCATAAGCATACCCCTAGTTTCTTTGTTTCTGGCCTTTCAGGGTTTCTATATCAGTTAACTTTTGAGTAGTTCCTCAGCCTATCCCTAAGGGTCACTTATAAATTCACTGTGATCTATTAAAAACCAAACATCAGAAACACAATCAACACAAACTTAGACCAGGAGAAAACCTGGGTTCTAGTTCCTGCTAATGACTTCCAACGTGACTGTGGCAAGAGACCTCACTCTTCTGTGCCTCAGATTCTAAAAGTGTTAGAAGGGTTAAAGACCCTGCCCTACTTACATTAATACTATAAAGAGCTCAAACAGATTCATTTAACCAATTAATTAGTTAACCCAACACAACAAATGTTTATTGAATACCTACCTTCTGGGATGTTGCATTCATAGGGTGGGGACAATATAGCCAGGGACCTTCTCTCTTGAGGCTGAAAATCTAGTGGGCTATAAATCCAGAAAAAGCAAAAGCTGTAATCAAACACAGGGTGACTCTACAAACAGTCCCTGTTCTCCCCTGGCTGCTCTCACTTGAGTTTACTAACCTGACTCTCACCATGGGAGGGAAGAGAAACATCACTTCTTATGTGGGGAGGTGGCAGTGATAGTGTGCCAGAATGGAAATCCTCTGACAGGAGCTACCTCTATTTTATCACAGCAGGAGCAGAGGCGGTGTCACTGCAGGCAGGAAGCCATCAATGTAACCACAGTCATCCACGACAACTATGATCAGGTAAGGTCTAGGCAGAGGACAGGGAAGATGGAAAGAGAGAGGTAAGAGCTTAATAGGGAGAGTGCCAACCCTTCAGCCACCTCTCCACCCAAATTCATTCACTCACTCCACAAGTAGTCATTGCAGGCCTTCCTGATTCTGTGTGCCTGCACGTGTTGGTCTTATAACACTTGCTAATTCCCTGGACTCTCCTCCCCCATCATCCCTCCACTATGTTTTATTTCCTCACCTATCAGGCCTGATCTGTATTAAAATCTGGGGGAAGCACACATTGCTTAAGATAGGGATGGCACAGCAGGAGCAAAGATCCACCGTGAACTGTGATCTGTCATGCATGAAGCATTCCCTGTATGGTGTCATTGAGGTCAGTACCTGCCAACAGCATTCTGTGTGGTGATGAAGACAGGGTGCTTCTCATGTCGATGTCCATGTAGAATGCTTACCTCCTGTGGATGTGAATGGAGAGGAGGTGCTTCTCATGGGCATCATTAGAAGAGCTAGTTACAGATTCTGCTTCAGTAGGGCTGGGGTAAAGCCTGAGTGTCTGCAATTAAATCACACTCTCAAATGATGCCCACACTTGAGAGATGAGGTGGGAATGGCAGGAGGGTCTGTTCAAAACTCTGCTTCACTGGGGAGAGGCTGGATAGGGTACTATTATAGAAATAGCTAACTAAGAGTTATATGGTTCTTACCATGAGCCTGGTATTGTTGTAGGCACATTACAAATATTGACACTTTTATCTTTCACAATAATGCTAGGAGGCATTATTGCTTTAGATACTGCGGCACACACAGGTTAAGTAACATAACTAAGACCACGATGCAGCTGCGTGGTGGAAGTAGTATTCGATCCCACACTGACTAGCTCTGCACAATGTGCTTTTAGATCTTACCACCTGTGGAGGAAGGCTGCTGTGGAAGGAGGTAGAATAAGTCAGGAGATTTGGGTACTAGTTCCAGCTCTGTTACTAACCAGTTTTGTGGCATTGGGTAGGATGCATCCTCAGGGGCTTCGGTGCCTTAATATGTCAAATGGGGACAACACATTCTCCCTGCCCACTTTACAGCAGCACAGGGATTAGGATGTTCTGAGAAAATAGAAGAACTACAGCAAGCCGATGTGGAAAAGAAAATAAGGAAAAGAACTGGCCAATAGCCATACTTTTCCTGTGAAAAACAGGGAAAACAAAGAGAAAAGAATGAAGAATTTTTTTTATTTTGTTTATAAGGAGCTGACATGATTTAATGTCTTGTTTGTGGGAAAAAAATTTAGTTGCCTGTTAAGAAAATAATTTTGAGTCCGTCTGCTATGGAAATATATTTGATGACTAAGAGAAAACCTTGTGGAGACCAGATTATGGGGAAAGTGATCAGACAGTCTAGAAAGGTAGGTTCTTAAGAAGATTCCACTTGTTTCAGCTGGAGGTCCGCTCTGCGGCTGTGAAGTCCCTGGGAGAGCTTGACGTCTTTCTAGCCTGGATTGACAAGAATCATCAAGAAACTTCTGCTGCTTGATAACAAGGAACCTGTCTAATCATCCAGGAATGAACCTCCCTGTGAGGTTTACGGTGGGAGACAGCCCACTCTGAAGGAGAGAGAGATGAGGAAGTCTCCCGTGTTTATCCACATGAGAAACCTCCCTGCTTATTTGGAATTTTCTCTTCTGGGCCTAGGGGGAATGTGGGTTTGAGCAGATCTCAGCCTGCAGCTGTAAGTCTCACTGGCTGGTCTCAGGCTGTCTGATCCCAAATAGCCAAATAGTCTACTGTGGTATTTATAATAAAATGTGTCTGCTAAAAGATCCTGTGGGCCATCTGGGAAGGAAAGGGTTGGCTCCCCCCTAATTTATTGTGAACTCGTTTATCCCATGTCTGTGATGTGAGCTGAGTGATATCCTGTAGTACACATTGTACGGACTAATTTTTTTCAATTAAACACTATGCCTATGAGTGGAAGTGTTTCTGATTCAGGAAGATTCAGTTAAGGAATCAAAAATGGAGACAATTAGATATGCAAAGGGTCTTAAAGAACATAATAGATGGGGAAGCTGAGGCTTGGAGATGGATAAGAATATACCCATTGTCCCAAAAGCAAGTTAGTGAGGAAAAGGGTTCAGTCTGCATCTCTAATTTCTCCCACAAACACCCTTTCTCTGCATGAAAATACAGAAGACAGAATAGAAGGCCTCTGACACATGCTTTCTTGACATTACTCCATTTCTGATCTCTTTCTCTCAGTCTCTCTGATTTTTCTCTGTATTGGCCTCCTTCAGTTATTTCTTTCTCACTGTTTTCAACCTAGTTATGTCTTCCTGGGTCCTAATCCATCCTCCATGGTATATGCATTGGGATGGGGAGAGAGTGTTTCTGACAGAGGGATGGTTGTCATGGTGAAAAAACTGGACAAGTATGGCCCATAGATGTGGGGTACCCTGGGTAGAGGGGCCAGGGCCAGTCTACAGTGGACAGAGGCCAGCACCAACTTCTATGTGGATGCTTCACAGATGATTCAGAGCACAAACACATATCTTTAATAATGACAATAACAACAGACATTTATTGAGCACCTGCCACATGCCAGGTATTGAGGTAAGTACTTGAAGCAACTTTTAAAAATTCCTACCTGAGAATGATATTTTACAGTCCACACTTTAGTGGAAAGAGCAAGACCTCTGAAGTCAGACAGACCTGGTTCCAATCCTATGTGACTTTGAACAAAGTGCTTCTCTGTCTCTAAGGCTCAGTGTCCTCTTCTGTAACATGGATATTTTAATATTTATCTCAAAGTGTCACTGTGAGCATCCAGTGAGGTAAAGGGCCTCCCTGCTAACCTCAGTGAATGGGAGACAGCAGGGTGTTGGGTAAAGATTGCCAGTGGGAGAATCACTTAAATCCAGGAGTCTGAGACTAGCTTGGGCAACACAGCAAGACTTTGTCACTACAAAAATAAAATAAAATAACTTTAAAAGATTGCCAAAAGAAGTGGAAGTTGGAGGGACACATTCTGGTTCTAAGGTTTCTCCTGCCATGAACTGCCCAGGGCCCGGTCACTGCACTAATTGTTGGTAATGTGGATACTGACCCCTCTGTCCTATCTGCTCCATGTGATAAAAGCCAGAGTCCCTACCACAGCCTCAGAAATCCTAATATCTGCATACCACCCCCCTTCCCAGCTCTGTGTCCTCTTATTGTGTCCCTGTTTCTTGTTCAGTATTGTTCAGACTCACCCTGACCCAGCCATATTGGTCTACTCAAACACAACTAGCATGTTCTCACCTTGGGACCTTTGCACTTTGCACAATACACACTCATAAACTGAGGTACAGTTAAAAAAAACCAAACCCCTCCACATGCTATGATCTAACATGATGAATAAGCTATGAAGAGGGAGTAGGGTTGTTTGTGGAGGACCCAACATTTCCAAGGTGACCTTGTCTGGGAATCCCTCCTGAGCAGGCTGCATGACAGCAGTTACAGCATTTCTGGTCTTTCACGACTGCCCTGGGGTATGCTTCCCCTAGGCACTTGCAGGGTTCACACCTCCACCTCCTTCAGGCTTTCACTCCAGAGGGATCCTATTTGAACATCAATCCCTTGTTTCCACCTTCTGCACACCTTTTTATATCCCTTTTCTGTTTTCCTATTTGTTTGTTGTTATTGTTGTTTGTTTGTTTTTTGTTTGTTTTGAGACAGAGTCCCATTCTGTGTCCAAGCTGGACTGCAGCGGCATGCTCACAGTCATTGGAGTCTCTGCCTGCTGGGCTCAGGACCTCCTTCTGCATCAGCCTTCCAAGTAACTGGAACTACAGGCGTGTGCCACCATGCTCGGCTAACTGCTTTGATTTATTGTACAGATAATTCTCACCAAGTTGCCCAGGCAGGTCTTGAACCCCTGGACTCAGGCAATCCTCTCACCTCTGTCTCCCAAATTGCTGGGATTACAGGAGTGAACCACTAGTGCTTGGCCTTCCTATTTGTTTATTAGCTGTGTCCCTACTCAAACATAAGGTCTAAGTGTATGGAGATAGTTTGGTTTGTTCACCGCCGGGCACTTAGTAGATATTGAATTCACATTTCTTAAAAAGATGATCTGGCCGGGCTCGGTGGCTCAGCCTGTAATCCCGTGCCTTTGGGAGGCTGAAGTGAGTGGATTACCTGAGCCGGGGGGGGGTTCGAGACCCGCCTGGGCAGCGAGACTTCATCTGTACAATAAATCTAAAAATCAGCCGGGCGTGGTAGCGCATGCCTGTAATTCCGGCTACTCGGAAGGCTGAGGCGGAAGGATCGCCGGAGCCCAGCAGGTCGAGGCTGCGGTGGCAGGGAGCAGCCACTGCACTCCAGTCTGGGCGACAGAGTGAGACTCCAACTCAAAAAAAAAAAAAAGATGATCTGGATGAACTAAAACTATAATAATAGTAAACATTTATGCAGTACTGTCTATATGCCAGGCAACAGTCTGAGAAATATACTTAATGCAATATAGTGTAATAAGAATACATATATTTAATTCTTACAGCAACCCTATAAAAGTTTTGCACATGAAACATCTCATTGATGAGGTAACATTCATACCTCATTGAATGTTAGTGGTACAGATAATTAAATCTTAAGGAGGAAACTAGGCACAGCGAAGTTAGGTAACTTACCCAAGGTCACACAGCCTGTAAGTAGAAGAACCAGGCTTCCAATCCAAGCAGGCTTGTTCCAGAATAAATTACAATGACAACAACAATGTACACATGTTGAACATGCATTATGTCTTAAGCCCTGAGGTGGGAGCTTTGGTTTCTCCTTTGCTCCTTACGATAATCCTCTAAGGTAGATTACTGACAAACACAATTATATAGATGAAGAAGTCTGAAGCTTAGTGAGGTTCAACAATATACCTAAGGGCATGCAGCTAGTTGTGGAATTGGGATTCGAACTCAGGGTGTCCTGTTCCAAAGCCAGGGCCCTCAATCATGCTGGCAATTAGCCTATACATCTTGCTTGCCTGATGGGAAGCCCAAGAGAAGGAGCTTAGTTGGCATAATGACTGGTACCAGCATGAAAGAAATATCGCTGTTATCACTGCTGGCAGAAGTACAAGTAGGAGAGGAGGAGGAGGAGATGAAGTAGGAGGAGGGGGAAGAAACACTGAACTTGAAGGCATGTTACCCCATGCTCTCCTGTGTCTCTCGTCTGCATCCTCTACTAGTCTACCTGTCCTTTCTCTCTTTTCAGACTTGAAAAATGTGTCCTAGCTCTTTTTTGGTCCATAGTGGGTCTGGCACAGGGTTGTGTGGGGTTTTTTCTTCACAGAGATGGTATTTAAGAAATGCCTGTTAAGAAACCAAATATGGGAGAGTTCAAACCATACCTTCTGAGTTCTCTATGGGCCCCTAGCAGGCACCCTGAAAAATCAGGTCTCACCTTTCACTGCTAAGATGAAGGGGATGGAACCCATATCACACACCAGGGCCACAACAGGCACTTTACATAGAGGATTTCATTCAAGTCTTTGACAACAACAGTGGCCACGGAGGTTGAAGTTCTTTCTCCCATGTGGCCAGCGAAGGCATCTGAGGCTCAGAGAGGTGGGGGCACTTGCCTGAGGGCCACACAGTTAAGGGATTGCAGATCTAGAAAGTGAATCCAGGCCCATCTTCCTAGCTCCGGAGCCCACTCCCCTTGTTCTGGGACAATTCACTTTATCCTGGTTAAGGCTCTACAACCTAGGGCCCAGGTTACCACATTCAATGCAGATAACTAAACCCAGATGCACTAAACGGGGCCTGGACTTACCAGCAACAAGCCACTGAAGTTACATACCAATTAATGAGCCAACACAGAACAAAGGAGCAGAGGCCAACTTCCGAGAGTGTCACGCAAAGTTCCTGGCCAGCTGAGATCTGGCCTCCTCCTGGGGACGCTCTATCCTCCCTCCATCTTCCAGAGCAAATCGCTGACAGCCTCATATGCTCAGGGCTTCTGCCTTTTAAAATCAAGGACTTGCCGGGCTTGGTGGCTCAGCCTGTAATCCCGCGCCTTTGGGAGGCTGAGGTGAGTGAATTGCCTGAGCCCGTAGGTTCGAGACCCGCCTTGGCAGCGAGACCTCATCTCTATAATAAATCAAAAAATCAGCCGGGTGTGGTAGCGCATGCCTGTAATTCCGGCTACTTGGAAGGCTGAGGTGGAAGGATCGCCGGATCCCAGCAGGTCGAGGCTGCGGTGGCCGGGAGCGGCCATTGCACTCCAGTCTGGGTGACAGAGTGCCCCAACTCAAAAAATAAAATAAAATCAAGGACTTTCCTAGAAGTTTGGCTAAGTGGGTAAGAGGATAAATGTTTGTGTGAAATCTTAGCCCTGCCATTTACTGTGTGACCTCAACTTACTAGTTCTGAGCCTCAGTTTCCTCATCTGTACAATGTGGGAGATGATTGCCTCATGGAATTGTTCTGAGGACCGGATTCCATTGATTCAGTGCCTGGCATGTAGTAGGTACTCATTAAAAATGATGATGTTACAATCGAATAATTCTCAACTTTTCTAAGCTTACTGTTGTTTTAGGAAAACTTTGC